AGTGGCGTTCCTGAAATGAAAGCATTCGGGCTTTCAGAGCATTTGTAACAACTGTTAAGTTCTTCTTAGTCGGACACGGAAGCACAGTTATATGAATACACATAAGTACCTCCAATCAAAATAAATGACACAGGCACAATCAAAGCAGGAATATGAATGGACACAATACACTTATAGCATAAGTTATGTCCGTGGGTGTGTGCGAGTGCTCGCATCAGCAAGACGCCAGTAAACTGCAGACTTTTTGTGGACATCTTCAAGATTATGCAGACATGAGCTGCCACCTGTGGGAAAATGCCTGGGATTCGCATGCCTCCCTGGCTTTTTTATCATACAAGTGTGCTTTTGATGCAGCATGAAAACAGCCAATCAATTGGTTAACTGTCCCTTAAAATTAACCACACTTGGAAATCAACATAATATTTATAACACAATATTTATATAACATTCACAGAATAACCAACATGAAACAGTTAAATGCTCAGATTCTGTGCGCTTTGTGTTCTAGTTAGCAGCATCTCCTGATCATGAGGATAAGTGATACGGAAGGGTTTTACCATTGATTTTAGGTAATGATGCGAGCATTTAGAGCCAAGGTAAATCAATGCTTTACTCAAAGTAAAGCACTGAATACTAACATGGTGCTGGTGTTGCTTATGTGCTGTCAGTTTTCCAAGAACGTCACGCGAAAACCGGCCACAACAGAAATTTACATAACGTGCGAACGACCAACAAAAAGTTAGATACCTTTAGGGCCAAAAGAATACTCGCAGACTTCTGCGTATTTAGCCCGACCTTTCAATCATCATACACCGCGAAACACTGCATTTCAAGAGCACACATCACCCCACCAGTGTTAAACTATGGTTACGTCGAATACAGCGCCTGCGTCCGTGCGCAGCCCGGCATGTAAACCCGAGCCGCGCCACGTCCACAGCACCACAGAGGGGCGGACCACGGCACGCTGGCACGGGGCAGGCAGCCGGAGCGTGGTCAGTACTAAGCGACGTGGGGAAGTTTCTTGGGCGTGCAGGGGACGCTGCCGGAGCGTGGTCAGTACTAAGCGACGTAGGGAAGTTTCTTGGGCGTGCAGTGGACGCTGCCGGAACGTGGTCAGTACTAAGCGACGTAGGGAAGTTTCTTGGGCGTGCAGGGGACGCTGTGGGAGCGTGGTCAGTACTAAGCGACGTAGGGAAGTTTCTTGGGTGTGCAGGGGACGCTGCGGGATCGTGGTCAGTACTAAGCGACGTGGGGAAGTTTCTTCGGCGTACAGGGGACGCTGCCGGAGCCGTTCAAGCTGATGTGGCCTGACGCAATTCCCTTCCGAAATCGCTGCCTCCGGCTGTTGAACTCTTCGTCATATATCCAAGCAATCATCTGAGGACGAAGGTGAACATAAGCACAGGTCTACGGGGAGTTTTCCCTGCGAGGAAGAGAAACCTTTGCCACAGATGAACATCTGGTTGCCTGAACGGCGCGAAAACCAGCACATATTACCACATAGTTGTTTTTGCAAACCTTTTCATCATGGTAAATGATGCCATTTTCGCTTCCATCACCAACTTTGTGATGTTACAAGTGCTTTGGTTCGGAGAAGTAGTCTTTGTTTCAGGCCGCTGCTGCTGAGACAAGTTGAAGGCTTTGCAATGTTTGACCCGATTGTTCATGACGCTAACAGCGCACAGGATCTTTTTAAGCACTTCCTTGCTGCGGAGGACCTGTGTGCCTGCTTCACAGTCGTGAGGTTTAAATAAACTGAAATTTGAACGGAACATTACGTGCAAAAATTCACAACTTAACGAGATCTAATGAAAATGCGTTCATGAACATCATTCGGAAGCACGCGGTTATATCTCATATGCCTTAAACGTTCTGTAGCTGTATTGACTCCTTCATTTGCCCATGTGCCATCACAGTAAAAAGGCAAAAACAATTGCGTAATGCAGTGAAACCATCATTTCAGGAAAGACGAAGGATTGCATTGCCACTCTGCATACAGTAGGAGGTTGATTCTTTGCGAAATGTTTTAAGATCCCACTGTTCAACGATGAAAAGGTTTATATATGTATATATATATATATATATATATATATATATATATACGTTCGTGTGCGGGTGTGTGCGTGCGCGCGCGTGGGCGTGGGCGTGGGCGTGGGGCGTGGGCGCGGGCGTGGGCGGGGCGTGGGCGTGGCGTGGGCGTGGGCGCGGGGAGTGGGCGTGGGCGTGGGCGTGGGCGTGGGCGTGGGCGTGGGCGTGGGCGTGGGCGTGGGCGTGGGTGGCGTGGGCGTGGGCGTGTGTGTGTGTGTGTGTGTGTGTGTGTGTGTGTGTGTGTGTGTGTGTGTGTGTGTGTGTGTGTGTGTGTGTGTGTGTGTGTGTGTGCGCGCGCGCGCGCGCGCGCGTGCGCGTGCGCGTGTGCGTGTGCGTGTGCGTGTGCGTGTGCGTGTGGGTGGGTGTGTGGGTGTGGGTGTGGGTGGGTATGGGGTGGGGGGGTGGGGGGGGTGGGTGTGGGTTTGTGGGGGTGTGGGTGTGGGTGGGGTGGGTGGGTGGGTGTGTGGGTGGGTGGGCGTGGGTGGGTGGGTGCGTGTGTGGGTGTGGGGGTGGGGTGGGGTGTGCGTGTGGGCTGTGTGGGTTGTGGGTGTGTGCGTGGGTGTGCGTGTGTGTTTTGGAAGATCCTTGGATAGTTAGAAGTGAAAACTTGGTGGCCAGAAAGGCAGTCGCGATCCCTTATGTCGACCCATCATTGTTTCGATACAACTGAGCATCATCGCCAGGGCACATTCTGACACAAGGTGGCTAGGTTACATGGGTACGCAATCATTCGTCGGTAGAATATAAGTTAATCGCAAATCAGTAACGCGTTCCTGTTATTCGTGTTTCGTTCAAACGGCTTTCCGAAAGCGCGCAACATTGTATCGCACATATGACTAAGCATGTTATGTCTGAGCTTCCTACAAGTGCAGTTTGACACCAACCAACCGATGATGCAGTCCAGAATTGCGTTTCCGGCCTTAAACGCACCATGCCGGCGGGCGTTGTACACAGGTTCCTAGCACACGGTCGCTGATAATTACGAAATCTATTCCCACTGCTTCAGTGCTTGCATTTTCAACTGAAGCCGGATTTGGCGTTTTTCGGCGTCCATTTTGCTTCGAATATCCACAAATGTAAGAATCCGATGGAGGGAGGATTTGATGGCCATCGAGCCACCATTCGCCTACTCCGCCCTCCTGCCAAGGTGCGCAAGAGAAGAGGAGTGGTGCCATGACACCCACACTGGCATCCGAGAGGAAAACATATAGAAGCTATCATGAACGCGATCTGGAACTTCAACACAATTTGTCATGCCCCTGCGCACCCTTCCAAACATGCCCGGGAAAGGCTGGCAGCAGTCAAAGCTGGCCACCACTTACCTCCAAGCGGTAATGCAAGGTCAAATAAGGTCGTTCCATGTCCTGTCATACCCTGTCCTTGGGTGAAATTGTACGTACGATCCGAAATGGCACCATACGATCATGTCTTGCTATACCCCGCTGTTGATTGACATTGTACGTACGATCTTCAAGTATGACGATGATATTGGCACAATATGAAAGGTCCACTTACAAACATTTGGACATTTTTTAAACTCGTCCGGACGTGAGCTTGGTATTAAACGAACTGGACATTATCCTCGACACCCCTGATTTATTCTGGCTCGGGGCATAACTGGTGTGAGAGGAGATTTCGGGTCAACTTTAGGATTTTTGGAGTGCGACATTAATTCTACTTTATATTCGAAAACCTTATTCCGCGCACAGTAGCAAGCTTTGTAGCGCTCACTGTCGGTAATACTTCTTATCCGTCATTGCCTAATCATTTTCATCAGCGCATTGAAAATTTGTGAGTCCCTAACTGCGTCCTTGCATGTTGGGCCAATGCTTTGAAGCAACATAACTGGTAGGGGGGGGGGGGGGGGGGGGCTCCTGGTCTTCACTCCGGTAAGGAGCTATGCCGTGGTTTGCCGTTTTGTCGTCGATGACCATACCCGCATGATGACAGCTCACTTTGTACATTCACATGGATCAAGAGTGATTCAAATCTAATGGATATGTGTGCGAAGTATGTACACACATGCAGTGTTCTAAATTATATCATAAGCGGACCCAGAACAGCAAAAAAGAAGGGTTGCCAAACGATATGCGGTGATACTGATGACGCATGCGCTGATGACACATGAAGAAAACGTCAGGTCGCTTTTTTTACAAGTTGTTCATTATGTCCATATTTCTACACACTCACGCAGTCGTAAATTACCATTCCTTTGCGAATGGAATAAGTTTGTGCTCAGTACATACTAACTCTGTATTTGGCAAATCGCATGAATAAAATAATTTGAGAGCTTCACACTCGCCTTTTTCAACGTTTTCCTTTGCTGCACTGCCCGTGTGCGTCAATGATTTTGGAGATTTTTTACCTTTCATCGTTTTACATACCCTGATGCACAAAATGATGAAAAATTGTATTGAATAGTTAAGGACAAATCTCGAAACGCAGGACGATTGCGAAGGCCGCGCTATTCCGTCGAGGGGCTGAGAACAACTTGCCAAAACTTTCCATGAGAACCTTCTTCTCAAAACGTATTTTTAGCTGAACTCTGTTTTCCTTGTTGGAGAGACGTGCTCAGTCTTGCGGAACCAGTGATTGTTTTGCTTCCTGCCCATATTGCTCCCAACAAAAGCCCCGAAGTTGATCTCGCGCAAGGTTCTCATACCCATTCAGAAGAGCCTGTCGCAGGCCTTTCATTAATCAACTACCAGGAACTATCTACTGAGTGGATGGCCGTGACAACTACACCACACAGGCAAATTTGATGTCCACAACTCTTCTACGAGTTTCGTTGCATTCTAACAAACAATAGAAATACTTATGACATTGCAAAAGGCATATACCGACTATCGGGGACAGCCGACATCGCCAAATCGCCACACGGTCTGCTGCTACTAGCCTTGAAGAGCTTCTCCCAGGCCACCTGCGTCTCGGGCCCCCAGGAGCCGTCCTCCTCCAGCGTGGAGCGCATGACGCTGATGAACTGGTTGCCAAGGATCTGCCGGCATGCAATAACTCACTGTGCCAGAAGGCCCAAGTCACACACATTTCTGACAGGTGGGGGGAGCGGCTCGGCAAGAACGGCTACCATCCAACATTATGGACAGAGTTTTTCCAAGGCGACTGAGAGAGCTGCGTGGAGGACATAAAGTCAAGGTATCCACAGTCGGATTTCTGTGTGATGTTGGTATGGTTCATATTCGAAGTCGAGGTTGATGTTCGTATGTTACTGAACGGCCGCTCTACAGGACTAACAAGCAGGTCATCAAAAAACAGTGCTCAGTTTCAGAAGGAAATTGAACAATTAAGGGCATACCTCCACCAAGGCCGACATGGTACAGCGTCGACGCACACACGCATATCTTTGTTTCCGAAATCCCCGACCAATGTCTTCGACAGCGAAGCCTGGCACGACACCTGCTGTTTGGCACTTACCTTGGCAGTCAGTGGATCATTAATAAGAAATCAAAACCTCGTAATGGTCCACTGCTGGAGCTAGGTGTTTGTAATTTCAGGCTGCAGGTGATCTATGAAAGGGTCTAGAGATTTATGCTCAGGCACATCAAGCAGGTGTTTTTAAGTTTGTGCCCTTTCTGTTGCGATCCAGAGAGTCCAAGTAAAAACACGGTTTCGGCGCTGAGAACCCTGTGCCCAAAAGCTCTGAACAGTGCAGGAGCGTTTTGGCTTTAAGGGTTTGTGTGTGTTTTGGGGCTTATTGGCGCACATGGCTTTTTGCCATTGCGTGAACTGCGAGGAATTCTCAGTAATACCAGATACATTTCGGTGCTCATTCAACATGCGCCCGGGTGGTCGGTTGAATACCCTTCACTCGGGTCGATTTGACCCCGCTGAAATCTCTAGAACTAAGAGAGCTAGGGACACCAAATTCGCAGAGCGTGTCGGCCTTTTGATGAACTCACTTATGTCACAATTTTGAGTTCCCAAGCCATGAAACTGGGGTCAAAAAAGGTCAAACAAGGTCAAACTTCAGGTTGATGTCCAAAGTAACCCGGAACCTAGATACTGTTCTAAGCAAAAGGTCGCTGGTGCCCATCTTAAGTCAGTGACCTTGTTTCACCTTTCTTATGACATGGTGACCAAAATCATACTAGACTGCTTTGACTTTAACATTTGAATAAGCATAAAAAATTACACTAGGCAGTACGTTCCTGAAATTAAAATGCTAACCTCGGTCGTTTCAGCTTAGGGAACTATTCTGACCTTGAATAAGCCCATGAAAGATGCATAACGCGGTTTTTGTTATCAATAAGTCAGAAATGCGCACCTGAGACTACCTCATGCAGCGAGCTCCAGAGCAATAAACAGGTTGGTTTTGACCTTAGTCTGACCTTCATTCTTGACCTCAGGGCAAGTTGATTTGCCTATTCAATCATTGTGTTGCCTAAAAAACTATGTCAGAGATGTATGGCTTCGTCTAAATTGTCTTCGCTGAATCCGTAGTTTGACTCACCTACCGTAGGCCAGCGATTTTACAAAGTATATCTAAATTTTTGACACCAAACAATCCGTTATTCAATTGTCTACAGCCATGCAAAACTTGGCGCGGATACGCCGCGTCTTTCAGAATCTGTTCCGGAAAAACCCTCGGGGTCAAATTGACCCCCAGCCGAGCACGCGCTGAATAATAATTTGTGAGTTACGAGCAGATGCATTGTTAGTTTTCGATAATTCTGGCAGAATGTATGGTTTGGCAAGGATGCTACGTATCACTTCGCATCATCATTTTATGTGAGAAAGAGGCTCAGCCATGCTCAAAGGGCAAGTGACAGAGATCAATCATTTGCCGGAATTTTTGACCATGACATGATATGACATGACATGACATGATGTGAGCACGCAAAGCAATTGTCAGCCAACCTCTTGAACTCCCCAACTTCGACCGTTACTTTTTACACACTGTTATCTATTTTTTTCGGCCTGTAACTTCCTTGTTATAAAAAACCAGACAATTTTCCTTGAAGTGAAATTGGCGTTAAATATTGAGCAGAGGACTGCGCACCTGTTTGAAATGTCGGATTTACCGACTACGATGTAACTGATATTTAAGGCTTTGCCGACTTATGCAGTTATACGACCAAGAGTTCTGCACAAATCTGCTGCTTCTCTCATGAGGGCTTTACATAAAATGTGGGTGTAGCTTTTTAAGTCATTCAGAATATCTAAAACTTTTTGGTGTGTTATTGTTTCGTTAACACGCGCTCGGGTGGGAGTTACTTTCACCTCCCAGAGGTTTTCCGGAATGGTTTTTGAACGGCCGGACGTACCAGCGCCAAATTTTGCATAACTGTAGACAGCTAAATAGCAGATTGTTTGGTGTAAAAATCTAAATGTCCCTGGAAAGACCGCTGACTTTTGGTATGTCAAAAACGGGTCATGGATTCGGTGAATACAATTTGTAGAGAATCGTTTAATTTGATGCAACAACGAAGTGTTAAACGAAGCCATGCATCTCTTAGACGCTTTCTAAGGTAGCACAATAATTGAATGAACAAACTACATTGACCTAGGATCAGCTATAAAGGTCAAACCATGGTCAAAATCAACCTGCTTTATTACACTAAGGCTTGTTCTATGTGGTAGCTTCTGGTGCTCATTTCGAACTGTATCGATACCAGGAACCGCGTTGCACATCTTCCATGGGCTTCTTAAAGGTCAGAATAGGTCAGTGGCCTAAAATAACCCAGGTCAACATGTTGTTTTGGGAACATACTGCCCAGAGTAATCTTTGTCGCCTATTGCAAAACTCGAAGCAGTCTTGTATGATTTTTGTCACTGTGGCCTTCTGAAGATCAAACAACGTCACAGACCTTAAATGAGCATGCGACCTTTCGCTTGGAGCAGATGTCTAGGTTATGGGGCACTTTAGACGCCAACCTGGAGTTTAAACTTGTTTGATATTATTTGACCCGCAATTCATGACATAGAAAACTCAAACTTTGATACAAGTGAATTTACGTATAGGCCAACACCCTGTGATTTTGGTGTCTCTCGCTCTCCTAGTTCCTGAGATCTCAAGGGGTCAAACTGCCCCCCCCCCCCCCCCCCTCCACCCGAGCGAAAGGTATCCAGCCGGTCAACCGGTCGCGTGTTAATGGGTTTAATAACCGCTTCAAGAAGTGACGTTTCACGTTAACTGCCCCACAATAACTAGTGAATGGCCGTGGTGTGGTCAGAATGTTGATCTGTTGGGGCAGTCAAATACTTTTGCGAAGTCCTAATCACGTAATCATCGCAGCAGAAACACGGCTTTTATGGCCCGTTTAGAAGACACAAAGGGATAGAGACAGAGAGATAGAGAGATGGAAAATGATGCTTGTTGCAAGATTGGTATAGAGCGAGAGCGAGCAGACTGCCCGGGCCGCCTTCCCATGAGCCATTACGTGTGACGGCGAGGCGAGGGTCCTCACTTGCATGTGCTGCGGCAGGGCGCCGTACTCCACGTGCCGCCTGCACAGGTCGATCGTCAGCGAAGTGAACTGGTCTTCTGAGTCCAGCCGGCTGATCAGCTTGTTGACGAAGCCCATGACCCTGCAAACACGACATACTTTCCCGGTGAGCAGACAATGGTGGTGACCTAGACGGCTGTTTACCTTAGTGAAGTGACTGGTTGGATTACACTGGTCATGAGAAACACGGCAATGTCAAACTCGGCCCAATGCCCTAACCCAGGTACCCCAGCGCCAGCTCGAGCAATTTATAGAGTCCAGTCGCCGTTTCAAGCCATCAGTTGCAGCTCATCATAACTAAGTGCTACCTGGCTCATCACTGGCAAACTTGGTCATATAGAAGGCAGAAGACCTCGGTCCGAGTGTATCGGACAGAGAACAAAAAACTCTAATTAAGATAATATTGTTGTCAATAATCCTGGATGACACAACATATTTGATACCTTCTGAGCCATCCTATACCGACTGCACATTCGATAAATGTAGTGGATGCCTATTAGTTCTTAGTCATGCAACTTATTGGTCGTCAAAGCCTTGGGCTGACGACAGGGTTTGCAAGTCAGTATTGCGACGAATCCGGAAGAAAGTACTGCTCGGTATACCGCAGCTGACACGAATCGCTTCACCCGAAGCACTGGGCGCACTCACGTGCTCATCCACTATCACTGCCGAAAGCTTCTTGCTGCTCATACGATTCGCCACCATCACTTCATTCGCTGCCGCCTTCCGGGCCAGCGTTACACCCGTTCGACCCGGTCACGCTCCCCGCCCCCCGGTATAGGTCACGCCTGTTCGAGCATCCGACGGCGCTGCTTTTTTGGAGAGCGCCCGCTGTCACAGCCCAGTCTGGCTGACAGGCCTCCCAACCCGGGACGGAAGCGTTCCAGAGCAGAGCCGCAGCAGGTCGCGCCTGACCCCGACGCAGCGCCCTCACATGCTGGGTGGCGCGCCTGCGCTATTCAGAACAGGTTGTGTTGAGTGTAACGTAGTATGCAGCTTTGGATGCACTTGACCTTGCTCCTTCCACTATGCTTGTCTGCCCTCATACCCCAATGGAATATCCAGAAAGGACAATAAAACACTCGCTGAGAGAAGTAAAAGGGGTTTAAGGCCATTTCGGGCCCGATGGTTCCCTTTCACAGAAAATAAGACATAAATGCGGCTTTGTGATGAAAATAGACACATACGCTTTGCAGTCATAACAGTCCTGTCGTGCCCGTTCACCATTCACGATTGTATTTGTGCCCGGTGGGGAGATGAAATTAATGCATCTGTGTCCGTCCAAATAAGCTCATACGCGTGCTATGGATTAAAGTACTTTTTGACTTGGTAGCCGACTGGAATGTCATCAAGGATGCTGCCCACCACATTCACATCACGTGACATAAATTGTCCATTTTGCGGCTGATCATGCCTTACGAGTTCCGTTCCATCGAAGGAGACAAGTGAAAAGGAAGGAAGCAGAGTGAATGCAATCTAAGTGAAGTGAATACGACAGGTTTGGTCAAGATTTCAGAAATACACTTCTTAACCCAAACATGAGTAGACCGTAATTACCGTGCTGGATGTTTAATGAGGTAGTTGTACGGTAGCGTTGAGAGCTATAGTTCCCGTTGACTTAAATTAGAACGGTAGCTTGATGTTGACTGCTGCGCACAAATCTCAGCATGCACTATGGGGTACGTGATGCATACAGCTCCAGCCAGCTGTGGTAGCTGCCGCGATACGCCCGATCCAATCTATGGCACTCACCGAATACGGCGCACCAATCCGCGGCCGACCCACACACTCACTATGCACGGTCTCGAGTGTTGTAATACGATAACGGCTCCAAGATCTGAGCTCCGCGCACCGATATGACACAATGGCAAGGGTGTAATCGTCTCAGAATTCAATGCTGAAATCAGCTGCGGTGGGACGCCGCGTTCGCAACCTCGGTCCCGCCCCGCCGCTCTATCGACTAACTTAGTATACCGAGAAACCAGCGCTAGCGGAGGCTCTGATGATTGTGCCTCACTCCGATGTGCCTGCCTGGCAGACGCCGTCCTTCCCAGAATGGCCACAAGATCGATACCCTCGAATTACAGCCAAGTGCAATCGTGTCTGGCGGAGCTCGTGGCGGAATCGGCCCTGCTCTCGGCGCCAGCAACCCCGGCCGCTGCCCGGCCCCAACGCAGCCGGCTTCACGCGTCGGAAATCCCGGCGCGCCCTCGATCGCTGAAGGCTGGTCTGCTCTCACCGTGCCGGACCGCAGTCGGCCTTACGCATCGAAAAGCCCGGCGCCCCCCCCCCCCCCCCCCCCCCCCATCGCTGAAGGCTGGTCTGACTCTCACCGCCGAGTACATGGCGCCGTGTTGCATGTTGTCGATATTGCCCGCAAATTTTGCAAGGTGACTCCAAGATCTGAGGCCTTGCTAAGCATAATGTGACGCGAAGACGATGACGCCACCGTCAACGTGTGGGAATCCGAGACCACTGCCTGCCGACATGCGTTGATGTCAATCTAACGCCGTGCCGCAGCCGCCTCCGTTCCAGCCTAACTCTCTTAGGCAATGGTCATGCCCCACCTCTCCAGCTGTCATGGGCACAGTGAGGGGCGGGCAGTGCCATTGCTAGTCGGTGGAATGACATTTGGAATAGGGCACAAATGCACGCATGCACAAAAATGCGAAACTTGTCATCAACACGAAGGAAAATTGTTTGGGGGTGCCTCTCAATACTCCAGTATATATATATATATATATATATATATATATATATATATATGTATATATATATATAGCTTATTGCCAACGGAAAGCAGAAATGCCGGCGTAGTCAGCCAGTGTGGCATCGTTATGAGCTTACGGAAGACACCGTGTCAGTGACAGACACCAGCATGCGTGCCCATGCAAACCCATGTCATACACGTTAAACACACACACACACCGTCGGTTCCGTCGGACGCGTCCTCAGCGACCCATGCAATTTTGTGCTGCCCCTTACGTATATATACGTATATATATATATATATATATATATATATATATATATATATATATATATATCAATGACCTGCCACTGTTTATCTCTAACATGACGCGTCCTTGGCACTACTACGATATTAAAAAACAAGAATATCAATGAGCTTAAGGAACAGGCAAACTCATCACTTATGCTCATCACGGAATGGTTCCAAGCCAACTATCCACTTACCGACATACATGTAGGCAAGACTTATACCCAACGTTACACAACAATGGCATCGAATATCAAGCTTAAAGTGAAAATTGGCAATTTACTAGTTGAGGAAAAAGTCGGGGGTACCTGGGAATCCATACAGTTAAAACGCCTAAATTCGCAGTCTATGCTGGAATGTACAGGTAATGAAAAAAAGAAGGCATTTCATTGACAAACAAACAGCCTGCACCTCGTATAGTTCATTTCTGCCCTATTTCGACACTGGTCCGATAAGGTGCGGGAATGACACCAGCCAGCAAGCCAAATTGATTGTTTTGTAGAAAGGAGCAGTGTGGCTCATTGAATGCATGTACACTCCTCATAGCCCTGGAGCTATTTTCAACAGGTTCAAATTATCAAAGTTGCTCATTGCATTGCATAAATTCGCACCGAAGGAGGCGCAGCCTAGCATACTTTGACGCCGTGTATAAAGCTCAGGAAGCTTTTGATCATGAACACAAGGCAAAGAAAACACCTCAGTTAACCATTCCAACCAGTATAACGGCATCTTGCCACGGGCCCACCACCAAAGCATGGCATACCCTGTATGTAATGCTCAGGAAGCTTTTGATCATGAACACAAGGCAAAGAAAACACCTCAGTTAACCATTCCAACCAGTATAACGGCATCTTGCCACGGGCCCACCGCCAAAGCATGGCATACCCTGTATGTAAAGCTCAGGAAGCTTTTGATCATGAACACAAGGCAAAGAAAACACCTCAGTTAACCATTCCAACCAGTATAATGGCATCTTGCCACGGGCCCACCGCCAAAGCATGGCATACCCTGCATGTAATGCTCAGGAAGCTTTTGATCATGAATACAAGGCAAAGAAAACATCTCCATTAACCACTCCAACCAGTATAACGGCATCTTGTCACGGGCCAACAACCAAAGCATGGCATACCCTGTAAGCTCTTCAGTTTGGTAGTATCCGTAGCCTGCCAAGGCCAGAAAGGACACTTTACCAAAATACTGAGCACTGCCTTACACTTGATGGCCGTAAGGGGCAGCACAAAATTGCATGAGTCGCTGAGGACGCGTCCGACGGAACCGACGGTGTGTGTTTGTGTGTGTTTAACGTGTATGACCTGGGTTTGCATGGGCACGCATGCTGGTGTCTGTCACTGACACGGTGTCTTCCGTAAGCTCATAACGATGCCACACTGGCTGACTACGCCGGCATTTCTGCTTTCCGTTGGCAATAAGCTTGTTAAGTTGGCGCGCGGAGAAGGTGGTGGTGTGCAAGTAACAAGGCCAGGATATCGTTCTGCCCCTGACACTTAGGATATTAACCTGGCGTTGCTTCACACCACTATTAGTTGACTGATACCATCAGCCACCCGCCCTTTGCCATCCCTGAAACCGGTCACTTTCAGTGGCCCCTTACTAACAGATACTATCATGGTAGCATTCATGGTGAAGTAATTACTCTTTTCTTAGGCTTGACTTTTGCCGCACGTGGTAGGTGTTGCATTGCTTAGCTGGTGAGGTATGAACGTCAGATTCCGTTTACTGCGATGAACAGGGGCGGGCACTCCTGGCACTCTCTTAATGGGTGATGAGAAGGTATGTCACTGAATATGAAAGCTGCGTGACTGCTTGCTTCGTTTATACGTCCCTACGTCTGGTTTACGCTTAAACCACAACTTGGCAACATTCCATTGATACGGCATGTGATAAATGTGTTCTGCCGTTGGCATTATGACTGGTTCACGGTATCCGATGTCATTACGAGTGTGGCACAGTACTCAGAAATGCGTCCCGGGGATGCATCGATTTAATAGCGGGACTAACTATCCCACTGTCGTGTCCCGGCACGGGTCGGGCAGGAAGCGATCCGCGTACATATCGCAGATGTTGTGGTCGCTTGTGTGCTGAACAGTGTCCTTGTAAAGAAGGCTGCGGAAAAAGGCACGAATAACATAAACAAACAGGACATGATTTGGCAGGATATCAACATGATAATAGTGACTGGTACCGCCTGGAACACTCCGATCGGTCGGCCTCTGCCGATACTGCATGTGCGATGGCTCGTGATTCCTCCGTTCTCGGGGGATTTATTACTGTACTTCTTCACCACGATAAACCGCTTCATTAAAAATTTTCAGCAAGAAATCATGACGTAGTTATAGTTGCTGTCAATGCACCTATAAACGCGATTCCGAAGGCCTGCTAGAATAATACAAACTGGAGAGGAAGCGGAAATCTGCCCTTCCGTGCTATCTGCCAGAAAAGCTAGAGCCACGCAATTTCCGAAAATAATACCGGTGATGCTTTGTTGAACTGCCAGGTTATGATAGCTGTGAGCATGGAAGTGTTAGAAGAGGTTATCATCCGAAAATCTACCGCGACCAATAACCACAACAAATGCTTAGCATCGAAGTAATCAATGCGTTTACGCAGGAAAGCCATTAAATGACGTAGATTTAAAATGATCGGTAAATCGGTGATAATGCTTTGCAAATTGACGTTCCCGTTCGCGAGCTATGATGTGTTGAGCTCGAATAGTAGGTTAATACAGAACCTTGCTTCATGACGGGAAATACCGGAACTACGTACTTCTAAATTGCATCGGATACACACATTTTCACAAACGATAGAGCATAGTTGACCCGTTCTGTTCATATACGGCTTGCGAAATGGACTCTAAAATATGTCAAAATGGAACACTGAGATTCCAGGCCCACGTGCGTTCATGGCGTTCGCAAGACGTGTGCGTGCAAAGGCTCTATGTGTCGACGCGTAGATTCTATGCCGTTCGGGCGAACCGACCGCATCCTGAACGTAAAGCATACTGCTGACTGATTTTGAACAAACACTCATGCAGGCGTGCCACGCGTATATTGACCTCGACCGGCAACTAAGATAAATAAACTGCCATAGTTTTGCCATTTGCCACGTTATGAATAGGTGAAGTCCGACAGTAGCTTGAACAGAATAATTATGAATAATTATTTTGCAGTCAGCCGTCAGAGCATCGTCAGTTTCTGGCACGTAAGTTATAATTGGTGCAGGGTCCTAGAATTGCATTGGGTGTAAAGCAACACCCTATGAGGAGGGGTTTTCACTTCTTTTCCCCACATTTTATGTGAATTTTTCACTCCTGCTTGACATTGTCTAATCGCACATGCCAAACCCCTATTTCCCTTTCTGAGGTTTTCAGATGTCATCCAAAACCGAGCTCACTTGAAACCACCAAGCATAAACGAGGCTCCACAGAACCTCGACACGTATGGCTATGTCCTGCCTCACCTACATCTGAATCAAGTCTATGGTATGCACAGAGCAAGGGCGCCAGGTACCTCCAAGCCCAAGAACCCCAACGACTCCAGCCGATTGCATGCATTAAGTTTGGTTTGTTTGCAAAATTTATTACAATCGGCAGCTGTGTGCCAAATGCAAGGTTCCATGCATCCCAATGTTTTTGGTCTCGCCACCACACCACGAAAGCAGGGCCTGGTGCAAACACCAGCAAAGCCTGGTAGAGAATTTCACTCCACGCATTTCTTTTTCCCGAGGGAACTTGGCTACTAAATTGCATCACCCCCGAAATGCAGTAGTGAAAAATTCAAGAAATGTCTTCTAAATTGGAGTAACAAAATGAATATCACCCTTTAAAGCATTCATGTTCACAGATTTGAAGTCCAATCAGCTGATTACAAAATTCTGCCAGAAAGGATCGGGTTTTATATTTATTTAACTACTTTTGTTCTCCTTGGCTTACGAGTCCTGCGAGTGTGATAGCACTTTATTCCTACTTGCTTTTCGATTGAACCCTCGGCTAACTGTTTTTTTTTTTGTGGTTCATGGCGGTGCTCGATAATGATAAATCTAAGCCTTTTAAGAGTCTAACTCGCTGGGCCACCTGACAAGACTATCCTAATGCTGTCATACGGAGCTTCGGGAGAGACCTGACGCAGCTAATACGGAAGTGTTTGATGGCGAAATTCTGCCCTCTGGAGATGTTCATCATGCACACCTCTTACTTGTTTCGCATTTTAATCTCGTACGTTCGCGGACATGATTTATATCTATATTTGGGGAGGGGGGGGGGGGAGTGGGATGACTCTGTCTGCCAGCAGACCATGCAAAAGGTACTTACTTTTCGTTTTGGGGGAGCAGGGAGAAGCCAGTAAGTCTCATGTGGACCAAGTAATTGCTTACTTTACCTGCTTTCAACACATGATTGGTAACCAGAGTTAGCCATTTTCCGTTTTAAACTATCGAGTTTTGTCATCAGACAAATTTTAATGCCACAAGGCATGCAATTGGCTTATTTTATTCCATATTCGTGCTTTTTCCCCAAATTTCCTGAATGGTCCCTCGTGGCTGCTTTAACCAGATGTTTTCCATAGTTGTCATGGTTTGCTGACTGGGAAATGCCTGTACTGTATATATGCACTATATTTTTAACACGGGGATACTCCAAGCTAAATAGCAATTACAATATGGGTTAAATATTAGTATGTAACAAATAGTCAGACCATCCCATTTAAAACGCGAAGCCAACATCTCAAACGTTGTCATTAAATATGAATTAACAAGCCTAAATATATTTATTTGCTGCAGTTGAAAAGGCAAGCAGCAATACTGGCATGGTCATCTAAAAGCTATGTTACTTTTGGAGAAGAGAGATTGTGTTGCCGAGCATACCCATTATTGCCCTTGACATAGGCTAACCATGGCAATCAAAATAAGTTGTTTAAAGGGATTTAAAGTGTTTTGATTTGTATGTTGTCAACTTCGTCTGATGTCAACAAGCATACACAAACGGACTGAATAAAAGTGCAAGATGAAACCAGTAAACATTTGCTTATCAGGTTTTTATCACAAGTGCTGCTGTGAACAGATAGGTGAGTTGAGATGATGTTCAACATATGGGCTTTTCTAAGTTAGGTTAAGCTGGTTAAGTGCATGGCAAGTGGCAATAGGAATTGTGCAAGAATAAGTAACTCACAACCACTGCTGTGATACGAACAGGTTAGACAGGATGAGATGAAGTAAGGCCTCTTTAAGTTAGGCATAGTTAAGCTACTTCCATGGAAATGAACATTGGTATTTTGCACGAAACAGTGACAAAATGTTTATTTTCCCTGGCCCCATCTTAACAGAAACCAGAGGTTATGTTTGACTTGGTGATGGGCTGATGTGTGGGAGTCCAAGGTTTTTGTTTTGTTTGAGTGTTTATGCTTGTTGAACTTTCCGTTGTTATTTTTTTTTATTGAATTCCTCTGCTTTGTTTTGTGTTGAAAGTGCTGTGGAAGTCAAGTGCAAAGTGCAGCATCAAATTATTGGTGTTACATAATTTTTAAGCTCGTTACACTGTAATGAAATTGCTATGCTTAAATGCATTCTGTTTCACTTTAATGTCCTAAGATGTTTAAAAACAAAACAGTTTTGTCAGGCTTATGATATTACGTTTATGCCAACTTGAAACAGATGTCTTTGTTTGATGAAAGATCGGTCACAAGCTCATAAGTACCATCTTTTGTGAATTGACTTTTTCATTCCCGCACGATCTTTCTGCGATGGAATTTTTCACTCCCACCCTCGTTCAAAAGCGATCTAGCTCACTGAATTGGTGTGGTGAGGGCTACGCCGAACTGAGTGGAAGCCGTTCTTTGACAAGCACTTTCTAAAAATACGTCGTGAGCCGACATTTTCCCGCTGGCGTGGGCTGTCACCGTGAAGGGGTGCTCTGGCTGCGTCAGGTTATACATACAGAAGGTACCAGCCGATTTTGGTGGCGCTCGGTCTATTTCACGTCTCGTTCTCCTGTAAGACGGTGCACCACGAGTTATCTCCTTGCATCGTTTATCTTTGACGCCGTTCCAGAGAATCAAGCAGGTTGGAAATTTGTCACCCCCATAAGTGCGCGTGTTCATTTGGAGGTACCTGTTCTTGACGAAAACATAACAACTATGTATGACTATTTTAATAACATACCAACGATTATACCACCAAATTTTGCATGTGAAATGAGCTACAACTGACACCAACTCAGATACCGCTTCAATTTCATGGACTCAAAGGGGATGCGACCTCCCAGTTGCATTGGCCTCGACTGTAGCTTTTATTTTCCGTTGGCACAGCCTGACCTGGACGCGTGCTGTCGCAGTTCTTGTGACGTCTTCAGATCTTCAAAATCCAGCTCACGGAAGGCGGAGAACGTGCCCTGCATCTCAGGGTGAGCCTCAAACAGTCTGAAACAGTACAGATCACAGCGATGATGCCCTGGTACATCGTGTTACCGTTGCAAAACTTTCCTGTCACCACTGCCGCGTTCCATTCATTTCAAGGAGTGCTGAGTAGCCCTCATGAACTTTCCACGACAACAGCTAAAATCACACCATGATAGAATATAGGTCTGCGTTTCCCCCTCTTTAAAAACCTTAATTTGAGCTGCAAACAGCATGTTTCATATGAAAAGTTACGAACAGAATGTCATAGTAGAGGATTTGTTTTTTTTCGATATCAAGCAAGAGGCCAAATTTTGCACCACCACGGCACATGGATCGAAATTGCTTGGAGAGAGAGTGGAAGCAGGCATCGAGAGTGTTATCTACGGCTTAGGTAGACGGATATCACAGACGTTATCAAAGGCTACTCAGTCCTCACAGAGTAACACAACGCAAACTGCAGCACATATTTCGACCATCGCTCTGGTATATTCCGGCTTACCAAACATCTATGGCTCCGACCCCGATAGAGAGTAGACTGAGAGACCTTAATGCAAAGTTACTTAAGGCTTTCTGCAGACATAACGGTAGTAAAAAGTTTGGTCACGGTAACCAGAAAAAATATCTCCGGCACACCAAAAAACAATGCAAATTTGATCAGTAGGCCATCGATCAAATGCGAAAGTTTTGTACTGCTAAACGACGCGTATTGTGTTGAAAAAGCCACGAAGATCTCCTCCGCATAGAATAGGATTCCCGCTGTCATAAGCCTACTCAGTGTCCGGGAATCGGAAAATGATGTTTGATCTTTATTTTCGATTAAGGACATTAAGCAGCACATGATATGATGAGTGGATCGGCGCATAAGCGGAACGCTTAAATCTGAGTGCCTTTCCTAACAATAACAAGATATGGTCATCGCCGCCAGGGTATCCACGACCCACCGCCCACTCATCCGATCTGTAAGCCGACACGGGCCAGGCGCCCGCCGCCGCTCCAGCCTACACATACAGCCGTCTAGGGCCGGCGGCGGACGCCCGGCCCGGCAACGCCACCCAGTGACCCGTCTGCTGCCCGCGCCCGCTGAAGTTTTTAGGCGAATCGTTTGGTCTCATAAAGGGATGTTTGGAAAATTTGTGCTATCTGCTGCCCATTGCGATCCTGTAAACCGTTACCTCCGAGATAGATACTTAGTTGCTCGTTGTGAGTGAGTTCAGAAAAGTTTGGAATGGTACAATCTGCTTTACGTAGCATTGAAAGTCGGATTTCATGGTAGCGAGTTCAGTTCAGTACAAAGTGTTTTGGGTTTTCATATGGATAGCCACACAAGCAAGAGGGACTAGGTGTAGTTGGATTTTGAATTTCGAACAGGTGGGCATTCAGGCCTGGCATCCCCCATCTCAGCCTAGTATTTAGGATGCTACCAGGCCTGGATCCAAAACTGTGATACACCGGAAGTGCGGCCACACCGCAGCGCTGGATATGTTTCTCGTTTGAAGGAACGAGGAGACTGGACAGATGACACTTCAAGCGGGAGTCGGTTCCATCTTTTCGTAGTTGATGGAATGTAGGATTTTTGTTATGTTGAGGTTCTGTTCAGTGGTATTATGAATGTCAGTGCATTGTGTGGTGAACGTCCTGTTGCAAGTGCTCATGTCAGGTAGAAGTGCGGCGACGTTTGTTGGCAGTAGATGTTGGTTGTGGATGAGGGTGTGGAACAACGTCAGTTTGGGCATGCTTATTCGTGATTTGAATGTTCCATCCCAAATCGTCCAACGGTGAGCGATTGTGTGTTCTGTAGAACGCACCGGTGATTAGTCCTGCTGCTCTATACCATAATTTGTCAAGTCTAAGGGGGTCGCTGGTTGTCAAAAGTCCGTCGTATACTACGTTACAGTGATCAAACAAAGAAAGAATGTAAGTCGAATACATGTCGTTGAGGATATGCCGAGGCAGAAGTCGCGATACTGGGTAGAGAGGTCCAAGGGCTCCACTTTTGGATATGGTGTCATTAACGTGCTGATGAAAGTGCCAATCAGTAGATATCGTCAGGCAAAGGTGTTTGTGGTTTGTAACGGGAGGAATTCGTTGGCCATCAAATGCCAGCTGCGGTGGGTTATGGGTGTTTCTGTTGGTGAATGTTTGCTGAACTGTTTTCGTGGCGTTGAACGTGATGAAGCCAGTCTTTGCCGAACTCTTGTATAATATGTAAGTCGTAATGGAGTGCCGATTGTACGGTAACTGGGTCGTGTGCGTGAGCTGTGCCTAGGCGTAGTATCGTCGGCAAAAAAACAAATAAGTCATTTTCAGTTTTGTCGGCTAGGTCGTTAAGGTATATAAGCGCAAGGAGAGGTTGCAGAACAGACCCTGCATCCTAGGCGTACTGAAACTGTTGCCTACCTTAACTATCCGCTTGCGGTCTGAGAGATACGATTCTAGCCAATTTAGGAGTTTCTGACAAACCACGATAGTTCCTTGCACTTGAGTAAGTAGGTCCTTATGCCATATGTTGTCAAGATATTTACTAAGGTCCAAGTAAATGGCTGTAAAGTCATATTCTCGGTCCAAAACTGCGTAAAGATTGTTAATCAAATATACCAGCTGAATCTGTGTGCCATGTTTCGGGCGGTATCCACGTTGTTCCTCAGAGAGCAGCCTATTCTCAATTAGGTGTTGGATACTATCAAAGATAATCCTTTAAAGAATTTTCGACACTGCAACATCACTTGATGTTGCACGACGCTGAAGTAAACGGATTGGTCTTTGGTTAGCAGGATCCGAGCTTGGCCCTCTGTTTTTGAAAATGGGATGAACCTTAGCTTCTTTCCAGGTGGATCTGAAAATACAATGGCTTTGTGACATGTGAACAGCTCAGTGAGTGGAGTCTTAATCAATATGGCAGTCATTTTTAATATTTTTGCTGGGAGATTGTCAAAGCCACATGATTTGTTCGGATCGAGAGTGTTGAGTGCGCTCAGTACTCCATCCTCTGTAATGGTTATGCTATCTGACGTGGGTGGTGGGTTCGTAAGCGCGGTCTCGGGGACAGGTAGGTCGTCAGTTGCGAGTTGCGATCGTCTGGCAAAAAATTCACCTAGTAGGTTAGCTTTATCCAAGTCTTCTGTCAATGGGGTTAAATCAGGTCCTACGAGCGGTAGCACTATCTCAGCTCGTGTCCGTCCTATCATTTGTTTAAGATTGCGATGGTACTTGTGTGGGTTTTGCCTTGCATGCAAGAGGGTGTTCACTTGATGTTACAAGTGGTTGTTCTTAAGTCGTCTGTTCATGCATGTCGTAGAATTTCTTTGTTGTCGCCAGCGGTCCCAGTGGTCATCAGTCATATACCTCTGAGCAAGTCTGAAAAGTCTGTCTCTTCTCTTCATCTCTCTCTTAAGTGTAGCATTAATCCAAAGTTTGTCACAGTTTCTCATCCTGATTTTCTTTGTTGGGATGGCTTCAACGGCTGCTGCCAGCCTGGTCTGCGTGAAGTTATTTGTCGCTGTGTCACTGCCATGGTGAAGTACTCCGTCCCAGTCTGTTTACTATAAGCTGTGAAAGTTTGTCTGCATCTATGTTTGTGTAGTCCCATGCTTGTCCGACTGATGCCTTTAGGGTTGGCGATGCGGCCTTGGTAGTGACAAAAGTAGGAATGTGACGTATTAGGGAAGGGGGGGGGGGGAGAACCCTACTGCCTACAATGATGTTTGTGTTCGATATCGGTATTACGTCTCGCAAGTTGGCTGTGTTTTGTGCAATGCGTGTTGGCTAATCAATGAGTTGTGGCAGATTGAGTGACTCAACTGTGTGTTTCAGGCTGACTTCGAATGGAAAGATAACACTGTGTCTAGTAGAATGAACTTTAGTTAGATAGTTATTACCAGCAATGAAATCTTCCAATATAAATATCGATGTAGGGTTATATGTTTGTGCCATGCCAACACTATCTGACAAGATACCAAAAAACTCTGTTAGTTGACTACTAGAGAGATTTGGTGGGACTACAGACACAGCAAACCACAATAACTTCTGACTTGATCTTGGTGAGGGACCAAACCCATTCAACTCCTTCCAGTTCGAGATCAGGTAGTCTCTTTGCTGGGAGTGTTGCTTTGAAGTATGCTGCTACTCCCACCCAAGTCGAGCCCTGTGCTTTGTCATTGGGTTGTGGTAGTTGTGTAAATTGTGCGAGCTAGGATGGACCTGTGAGTCAAGTTTGGTGTCGGTCAGGAGCAAGATGTTAATGTCGTTATATGTGGTGGAGAGAGCAAGCCCGTCCAGGCGTTCTGGAGATGTGATGCTGGTTATGTTGACGTGTGATATTGTGACATTCTTGGTTGCTAGTGGTCCTGGGTTGATTTCCAGCCCACTGAATACTAAGCACATTTCAATGTCAGGATATAGTCTAAGTGACAGTTTCGAGCATTTATGTGCAGGAGCTGAGCGAGTGAAGGTAAGATGTGTGCCTTTAGGAAAAGAGTGGCTGATAATTGAGAAGGAGAGGCTGACTGAATGCTGTTAGAAAGGGTCCTTGGTAGCAGCAAGCTAAATTTGGCAGCGGGCACGCAGCAGCATCCAGGAATTGGTAACAAGTGGACAGTAATGTGAGGGTCGCACGAGTGACAGTGTGAACAATAAGGCAAATACGCTATCACTGAAGACATCGTGGACTTCAAGCTACTAAAAGAGACCGTCACATCCGATCTTCCGCAGTTATCTCACACGGCAGAATCATAAGGTCTTCGTGCCCCACCCCCTCCAATCAAAACATCATAAGTCGCAAAATTACTCATGGTATTCACATGTGATGGCCGTTCTAACGACTGCATGTGGAAGGACCGTTAGGGTGTTCAGGAGCATTTAAGTCCATATTCTGCTTGTTATCCATACTCACCTGCCTAACACTCGTATCTTTCAAGTTTGTCATCGATGGCGATACCCTTCACTAAGTGACGGAACGTATCTCGGACCTCGTGCTGAACAAGTGGTTATTCCATTTGGT